CTTGAACTATGTAGCCCAGACTGGCCTCGAACTTGTGATCCTCCGGCCTGAGCCTCCTCAGTACTGGGCGTGTGCCACCAGACCCGCAGGGCTAGCCAGTTTAGGATTTAAAAAAAAAAAAAAAAAGTTAATGTTAGGACAGGATCCTCCTCAGGAAAAAAAAACAAAAAAATCTAACTTCCTCTCCTTTTTGTCAAGACAAATTTGGGAAACTGTTCGTAAGGAAACAAAGCTAGTCACCCGACGACCATCTATTGGCGGTGAATACTTCTTTCTATTCACTACCGGGCAGCTGGGGTTTTTATTGCGCGTGCGCAAGATCTGCCCCACACCGGAATTAAACAAAGATTTTAAATCTCCAGGATCCCGTTCCTGGATGACCGGCAGCCGCCCCAATTCTCCAAACGTCGTTAGGATTGGTCAAGCGCGGAACTGATGCGGGGCTCTGATTGGCTGACACACAGACACGTCGCGGCAAGTTTGCGTAAGGCCTCCAGCACCACCTCTGCTCCGTGATTGGCCGGGTTGCTAACCAGTCAGCGAGCGAGGCGCGCGCTTTGGTTTTTCGAGCCGCTGTTTGCCGCCTCGGTTCCCGCGACCCCAACGTCCCAGAGGCGGGGCCCGAGTCGGCGGAGGCGCTCCTAGGAGCCAGCCGCCGTTCTGGCGCAACAAATAGACCCGGGCTCGGCGGACTTACAGTGAGCGCGGTTCTGTGCTCCTACTGGCCCGACGGACGGCAGCGGGGCCCGGGGAGGACTGTGGACGACGTTCAGGAGCCTGTGGTGAGTTCAGTGCTTGGGCGCCCTGGACCGAGGACGCGAAGGGGAGGTAGTGGGGGAAATAAAGCGGACCGCGACTTCCAGGGGAACTGGCTATATACGCGCTAAGGTTTGTAACAGAGGTTTTTAGTCGAAAACATGCCATGCAAGTTTGTTTTCACTGTGAAAAATTTTCGGGGACTGAATGCTCCGCTCATGCATTTTCACAGCAGACTGCTATACTGTATAATAAGGAACCAGTTAATACTTAAGCTCGTTGTCTACTGGAAGTACTGTGTCAGCAGCGAGATACGAACGTCCTGGGTGTGCTCAGAAGCAGCATTAACGTTAGTGTTCGGGAGATTTCACAGAGGAGGCGATGAAAGAGGTGGATGGTGCTAGATGGTGGGGTTTATCACATTATCCACGTAGAAGGGAAACAGCCCGTGCAGACCCTGGAACGGGGCGACTGCAAGTAGCTCCGTGAGGCTGGGATGCAGGACGTGTGGATACGGGACATGGTTGGACTATTTGGGCAACCAAATAGTGAAGGTCCTTTATTCTGTATAAGAAAAAGAATCATCCGCTTTTTAAGCAGAATAACTTGACTTGATTTATTTAGAAATAGCCTTCTAGTACTACTGGGGACTTTTGAGTAAATCTGGTGAGAGCTGGTGAAGTCAGATAAGACTGGGATGGAAAGAGAATTTATATGGGGGAAGAGGGAGAAAGAAGAGGTGAGGAAGACTTGACGGTTTTCATCTGCTACGCAGTGATATTATCTGAGAGTATGTTTTGTTAGGTGTACGTTTTGTATGGCTTTAGTTTCATTAGCTTTAATTGCATCTGTAATGCTGTCAGAATAAACCACCTTATGTTTGTTGTTTTAAAGTGAGAAAAGATCAACATTATCCGTGTTTTCACCCTAATACATAAAGGAGACACGTGTGGTATTTTAAAACACAACTGTTTAACGAAGAAAAATTTTACTTTGTGTATTTTGTAGGGGTAGAGTTACTAGGTTCAATGCTGTTGCTCATGACAACCAAATGCAATAAAAAGCTGTAGACTTTGAAACCTGTATTCCATAGAAGTTGCATTAAACCTTTGAAGTTCAGATATCTGTAAGAAAGACTTTTTAGTCAGCCTTACAAAGGCACATTCAGTAAGATTTTGTTCTCGCAGGTATTTTCAACTTTATGGAAAAAAAAATCAAATGACCTTTGCACCTATATGTGTGATTCTTTCCTTTTTTAATCTTCAGACAATTTCTTTTTGCTGCAATTGAAACAATACATAGAAGTTTAAAAGCCCTAAGATTTAAGAAAAACAGAACTGTAAAGAAAAGACTGTGGGCTCTGTATTTTGCTTTAGTAATATTTAGATGAAGCTACCCAGCAGTCACTTAGCAATGTGGATTTGAAACTTAGAGGGGAAGTTTTGCTTTCTACAGATGGGTGTGCACACCATGGAAATGGATGAGAGTACCCATAGAAGGCGTGTATATGGAGCGCCCCCCCCAAAAAAAAGAAAAGAAAATTGATATTTCAGTGACGGAAATCAGTTTGTGAGGATACAGTATTTCTCTTCCATTCTCACAGGACTGAAAATTTCTTGATGGTTTCCTTATACGCCCAGTCAATATCGAGCCCAAATTTTTCCCATTTGATGCTTTGTGGTTTTCTGAAGATTGTGAGGCTTTTGGTAAAAAGTGGTATAAACTAATTTTCCTACCTGGCTCACTAATTTGAAGTTGATACCAAAATTTTACGGCAAAATCCATGTTTTCCTTTATTTGCTGATTTGCTGATAGATTTTGCTGTCTAAAATAAATGTTAGCATTAATTTACAGGCAGAGCCTCTATGAAAATGATCAGCAGAGTCTGCACACCTTTAATCTTATTAATCTAGTCACACTTCATATAAGTAACTTAATTTTGCTGGTTAATATGTAGTTAAGTAATTTTATTCTTTTGTTTTTATCATTATTAATATCTCTTTATTTCTTTAGGATAATGAGAGTTTGAAATTGAATAAATCACTCACCAAATATCATGGAGTCTATATATCCTCTTACAAGGCCCCAGATGAATACCAGGTATAGAAATAATTTTACAAAATTTATTTTCACAACTGTTCACATTAACTTGGGAAGGTAGATTGAAAGAGAAGAAAGAATATGATCTCTAGAATCAGGAAAATATAGCTGTGCCTGGTAGTGCATTCCTGTAATCCCACCATCTGGGAGGCTGAGACATGAGCAGTTCCCAAGAGTTCAATGCCCATGGTGGTTGGGAGAATAAGAATGTGAATGAGAATATATATCAGGAAAATCTGAGCATGTGTCCCAGTTCTTCTACTTCTAAGGTGGGTGACGTTGATTGAGTTTAACTAAACCTCAGTTCCTCATCTATATAATGGGGAGGTAATCTCTAACAGAAGATGATTATTTATTTATTTTTTGTTTTGTTTTGTTTTGTTTTGTTTTTTCTGGTACCAGGAATCGAACTCACGACCTTGTGCTTGCCAGGCAGGCGCTGTGCCGCTGAGCTAAATCCCCAGCCCCCAGGAGATGATTGTAAAGGGTTAAATAAGACTATTAAACAAAGCTGACATGGTTGCCCATACCTGTAATCCTAGCAGTCTGAGAGGCTGAGGCAGGAGGATAGCAAGTTCAAGCCCAGCATGGGCAACTTAGCAAGACCTTGTCTCAAAAAATAAAAAGGGCTGGACTTGTAGCTCAGTGCAAAGGCCTTGGGTTCAATCCTCAGCACCAAGGAGGAAAAAAAAAGATTATTAAAGGATCTGGTACTTAGCAAATATTAGTTCCATTCCCTCCTTCGCTTATCTTAATTCTATGGGAGATCTTTGTATTGATAGGAAGTACTGCTTGAACTCCTGAAACAAAAATTACATAGATGTTGATTTTATGTTTATTTTACTAGACAAATGGGAAAGTGGCTGGGTTTTCTTCCTCTTCTAAACACTGATTTCTTGATTGGAATCTCTCCATATTGAGTGTCCCAAGCTTCCTCAGATATCACTAAGCTTTTCCTATTCATGTGATGTGGGAAGGACTTTGCCGGCTGCCTTCTGATTTTTCTCATTGTTTTATTACTTTGAGGCCAGGCAGACTGCTTTGTGTTCCTTGGCTCTTTGGATCATATATTGTTCTTTTTCCCCTAGGGAATAGCAGTTAATGCTGACGTGTGAAATTTCTTCAAAGTTAAAATTATACCCATAGGTGCCTTTATTTTCTGTATTGTCTGCCTTTGCCATATGTTCATGATGAAAACAGTAGAAATATGATCCAAGAAGGCTATCATTTTCCTTTTGCTTTAATTTTGCCCTTCTGTTCTATCACACTGCCACCTCATATTTGAGGGTTTGTCGGTGTCTGTTCTTTGAAAGGTATAGTTATATAACAAGTTCCGTATACTTTCTTAATTTTATTATCAGAATGATTTTAGTTCAAACTCATTCGTTCTACATAAGATATATACTTATGTGATTTAAAGTGGTTATTTCTCAGGTGTTCTAGTTTCTTTTAGTTATTTAGTGACTGGTTTTTCGTATCCTTGATTTAGGGCAGCAGATCTGATTTGTGTGTATGTGTTGGAAAGGAGATCATTACCTCAAACATTTATCCATTTTTTGTTTTGTTTTGTTTTGTTTTGTTTGGGTTCTTTTGTATGGGAATTGAACCTGGGCTTTCACACTGAACTACATTCCCCAGCCCTCTTTTTTCACTTTTTTCTTTGAAACTGGGTCTTTCTAAGTTGCCTAGCCTGGGCTCAAACTTAGGATCTTCCTGACTCAGCCTCCCAGAGTGCTGGGATTACGTGTGTATACCACCAAACCTGAGAAATTTATTGTTTCTTTTTTTATGAGAATACTCAGAATCCTTCATATTTTGTAATATATACCACCACATTGTTGACTATAGTCACTCTCCTGTGGTATAGAATTCTATACCAGAACTTAATCCTTCTAACTTTAATTTTACACCCATTGACCAGTCTCTCTCTGTCTCTTTCCCCTACTTTTCCCTAGCCTTTGATAACCACTATCCCACTCTGTTCTTCTATGAAATCAGCTTTTTTTAGGGTCTATAAATGAGTGAGATCACGTGGTACTTGTGTCTCTGCCTGGCTTATTTTATGCAACATAATGTCCTACAGGTTTATTACTATTGTAGCAAATGCCAGGATTTCACTCTTTTTTAGGGGTGAGCAGTATTTGTTGTGTATCATACTTTTTATGTCGGTGGATGTTCATAGAATAATTGCAAATCTTGGCTATTACCAATAATGCTACAGTCAGCATAGGAGTGCAAATATCTCTTCAACATATTGATTTTATTTTCTTTGGATAAATACTCAGTGTACTGCTAGATCACATGGTAGTTTTATTTGTAGTGTTTTGAGGAGTTCCATGATGTCTTCCATAATGGCCACATCAATTTATATTTCTATCAGCAGTGTATGCAAGTTCTTATTTCTTCATATCCATGGCAGTGTTTATTATTTTTTGTCTTATTTAAGTCGTTCACTCTCCTCAATTTATGTGTTTATTTTTGGCCTGGTCTTGAGTTCCTGGACTCAAGCAATTTTCTTGCTTCAGCCTCCTAAGTAGCTGGGACTGGCTGGGCCTGGTGGTGTATACCTGTAATGCCAGCACTCAGGAGGCTGAGGCAGGAGGATCACCCTAAGTTCAAGGCCAGGCTGGGCTACATAGTGAGACCCTGTCTCAAAAAAAAAAACAAAAACAAACAAACAGCTGGGACTATGGGCATGGACCACTGCACCTGGCAAAGATAATTGTTTTTTACAAAACTTTTACCAACTTTGTTTTTCTTTGTGCTTTAATTTTTTTCAAATATATATTTTTAAAGGTTTTCTTCAAGCAAAATGATTCCTTTCCACTTTCCTCCATCAAAGTGTGCACTTTGGAACCCAATGCCAATTGGAGATTTTATCAACTTACATCTCAATTATTTCAGGTATAAAATTTTCTTTTGTCACGTCATACCAATATGAGTAATAAAAGAATGTGTAAGGTAAAGTTGATTACTATCACCAATTATAGGTAGATACTCCAGTCCCAAAATCTGACATCTGAACTGCTCTAATCCAAATCTTTTTGAGTGCCAACATGATTTGATAAGTGGAAAATTTGCACATCTGACCTAAGTTACAGTCTAGTTACAGTCAGAATGAAAGCATACAACACATAGTTGTATAAGATTACCTTCAGGCTGTATATAGTGTATAGTGCATAAGATGTGTATAAAACATAAAAGAATTTTATGTTTAGACTTTTGTCCCATTGCCAAGGTGTCTCATTATGTATGTGCAAATAGTCCAAAATCTGAAACAGTTCTGTCCTAAATGTTTTCGGTAAGGAATACTCAACCTGTATTCATTTTTTTAAATCTTTTCCACTTGAAAATTCCATCTGCTGCAGCTTAAATTCTTTCCTTGTACTTCTTATTTATGTAACCTTAATAAAGAACTCAAGGATCAATTCTTATTTTTTCTTTTTTAGAAAATAGCTATAATAATCCTGAAAATAATCTTTCTGTATGTTTTTAAAGTTTATTTTAGGCCACATTTCATGACCCACATTGTAAAAGACTTCTGTTATTTTTCAGAAATCCAAAGCTTATGGTGAGTGAAAAGACCATCCGACTTGCTTACCGCCATGCTAAGCAAAATAAAAACAGTGTGCCATGCTTCTTGCTTGGTTCTCTCACAGTGGATGATGGTAATATGCTTTTTTTGTTGTTCTTTTTGTTTTTGTTTTGGTACCGGGAATTGAACTCAGGACCTTGCGCTTGCCAGGCAGGTGCTTGTGCCGCTGAGCTATATCCCCGGCAATGGTAATATACTTTAAAAATTTACTCGTGTGACAAGAATCGAGCTTACATTTACTGATTGAGCCAGCTCCCGTGTGTGCTTTGTACTAATTTTCTGGGTTATATACCATGAATATGAAGATGTGTAAAACTGTTATAGACTTCTCAATATACTCAGGTGGGAGGATATATAAATAAATCATTCTTTAAAGTTCACTTTTAATATACTACTGGTATGAAAAATGTACTTTGCTGTAATGTAGCATTGGTTTATGTTTTTTATTTGCATGCTGTATGATTCTTGTTATTTCTGTTCCTCAGATGAAGAAGGTGTAACATTGACAGTAGATCGCTTTGATCCTGGTCGAGAAATACCTGGATGTTTAGAAAGAACTCCTACTGCTTCTCTTCCTGGGGACTTTTTGATCCCCTGCAAAGTTTATACTCAAGGAATTTGTTCAAGAGAAATGACAGTTGACACTATGGGTGACTTCAATTCAACTTTTAAAGTAAGATTCACTTTAATTGTTATTTTTGATTCAATTCAAGAATCATACTAAGTGTAGTATGCGGTACTTTAGTAAACCCATATTTGAGGTCTCTTTGTAATTATCATTGAATTATTGTGGGCTGACATCTAATTAAATGTGGTTTCTAAGGCAAAGGAAGGTGATATGGGCGGCATTCCAGAAAAGGAGCAATGTGACTAAGATAGAAAACTTCAAGATGTGAAGTAAAGTTCAAAATGTGCTCTGTGTAACTGTGTGTAGCTTTTGCTGGATTTGTGGGGAGTCACAGAGGAATGTTAGTTTGGTCAGATTATAGAGAGCTTTGTCTTACAGGCTAAGGAAATTGACTTTGTTGTATGGGCCCTGCATTCACAGAAAGTTTCTGAAAAGGAAAAAATACTATCAAATCAAGAATAGTTGATTTGATGGAACTGGTTGATCGAAATCAAATCAGGCCATCACAGTAATCAGATGTTGTCTTGGTTACTTTTCTGTCTTTGCTGAGACAAAATACCTGATGCCCAGAATTAAGGAAGAAAAGGTTTATTTAGCTTACAGTTTATGGAAGTTTCAGTCTCTAATCAGCTGGCTCCAAAGCAGAGTGGCAGGGCACAGGGGCAACACTTCAAGGCAGCACAAGGTAGCAAATGCAGCAAGAGCTAAAAGGAGGAAGGAAGCAAGCCTCTTTTCCTCCCTTACACTGTATGCTGGCTATCCACCCACACACATACCCACACCATCTCAGTGCGCTCCTTTTGCACAAACTCAAGATGAATGCCAAAAAACATCATAGAGCAGAAAGGGCATGTTCTTTTCACCCCAGGATGTAAAACTTTTGAGTCACTTAGCCAAGCTGGGAGACTCCTCAAGTTGACACAATGTATCAACCCTAACAGATATGTACAGAAGGATGTGCTACCCAGTAGTAGAATGCTGGCACTAAAACTAGAAAAGATAACTGGGTGTGAGCAAATGCAGGGCAAGAACCATCTTGAAATTTGGGGTAATAAAAGGAATCAAAAGGGAATGATCTTCAAATTCTCTGAGGCTGAGTCAGAAGTAAATTATATTCACCTTTGCTCATGTAATAAATACTTATTGGGAATAACACTCCTAGTTTGAAGTACTGCTAAGTCATCTAAGTTAGAAAATAGGTGATGGAGCTCAGAAGTCTTACTTGCTTTAATGTAATTATTCACTTAATCTTTTGATCACATAAAAAATGAAAATTCAAATGTTATAATCAAAACTAATTTAATTTTGTGAATGCAATATATTCAAAGTGTATATGCACCAGTATAAAGTATACTTGGAAGATATAGATACATTTCAATTTTAAAATAACTGTGTAATATTTATTCCTCAGGCTCTGCAGCACCATGTATGTAGCAAAGATTCCTTGGATTGTGGTAAACTGCTTTCTGTACGAGTGCATATCACCTCCAGGGAGAATTTGGACAGTGTGGATTTTGACTTGTACTGGGAAGCAGTGACTCTAGCAAATAACTTCAAATGTGCACCTGTGAAGCCCATCCCCATTATTCCAACAGCTCTGGCAAGAAACTTGAGTAGTCATCTGAATATTTCTCAAGTTCAAGGTACCTATAAATATGGGTAAGTGAAAGATACACAGTAGTAGTCTAAAATTTTAAGAATTGGTTGCATTAGTATTTTTTTAGGTTATACAATAATATAAAATAATTAAGAAATACAAATGGCAAATAAATACATGAAAAATGTTCAACATCATTGTTCATTCAACAGATACAAATTAAAACCACACTGAGATTCCATCTCACCTCAAAAGGTATAGCTGTCATCAAAATATCAACCAGTAACAAATACTGACAGGGCTTTGGGGGAAAAGGAATTCTTTTCCACTGTTGGTGGGAATGTAGACTGGTACAACCACTATGGAAATCAGTGTGGCGCTTCCTCAAAGACTGGCATTCGAGGTTGCATTCAAATCAGCCATTCCCCTTCTGGGTATCTTCCCAGAATTAAAAACATGATACCACAGCGATATATGTGCACCCATGTTTATAGCAGCACAGTTTGTCACAGCTAAATCTTGGAAGCAAACCAAGTGTCCATCAACCAAGGAATGGATAAAAAAGATGTAGTTTTTTATATAATGAAGGACTACTCCGCCATAAAGAAGGATAAACTGGAGACTTTTATAGGTAAATGGATGCAACCTGAGACCATACTCATGAGTGAGATAAATCAGACCCGTATGTTTAAACATCATATTGTCTCACTAGTGTGAGAGAATGAACAAGTAAATAAGATCCGAAATACGCCATAGATACTGTGAATTGGGAAGAAACTGTTCAAAAGAAAAGACAAACTGTGATGGGAGAAAGGAAGAAAGGAAAAAAGGAAAAAATACATGTATACACAACATAGTTAAGATAGTTATACAACTAGTTTCTCTTAGTTGATTAAAAAGAAAGTTTATGGCTAATATTGTATGGACAAGATAGCATGCCTATATCTTCTACTCTGAATAACTACTACATAAACGCAATGTATCAATTATCAAAGTAACTGTCCTACTGACTTGTTTTGAAAGTTGATTTCATTGTTATGTTTATCTTTTTTCTCTTTAAAATTAAAAAAAAATTGTGTAGTTAGTCTTCATGTTGGAGATCTAATGATTTAGTCAATGACCAGAGAAGGTTAAAAAATAAAATGAAGTTGTTACTTTTCTATCCTTTCAATCCTGGGAACTGAGTCCAGAGCCTTATGCATGCTAAGCACAGGCTGTACCTCTGTGCTACAACCCGTCTATTAGTTTTTGCAGAATCCAGAGTCCTTTCAAAGAGTTATACCCAAAACCTTACAAAATTATTGGTTTTTTTGGTCTTTTTGAGACAGGGTCCCACTATGTAGTTCAGGCTGGCCTTGAGCTCACTTTGTAGCCCAGGCTAGTGTCAAACTCGCTGTGATCCTCCTGCCTCAGCCTCCCAAGTGCTGGGATTACAGGCGTGAGCCACCATGCCCGGCCAAAAATATTGTTGATTTAAAAAGATTATATTAAAATTGGTTGTGGGGTTGGGGATATGGTTCTGTGGTAGCACTTGCCAAGGATACATGAGGCCCTGGGTTCACTTTTTGGTGTCACAAAGAAAAGATTGATACTTTATGATTTGAAAATATAAGGAAAAATTACTTCTGTATTATTGTACCTATCATACTTTATCTAGGTTTTAGACCATTTTCTTTTTTCAACAGTAAAACTGACTAATTATGAATCTAAGGCAGCCCAGAGAGTTTATTTACAATGTATAGTTTATTGATACGATTTATTTATGATATACACGTAGAGAAAGGGAATAATTAAATATTTGTCATATTCTTGCCAAATTGTCAACTACTTGAAAGTGAAGTTTCCTTACATAGCCGGAACAGAATTCTCTACAGCCTCTTATCCCTTTGTTTCTTAGGAATTATAAATTAAGATGCATGCTTTCTAATCCTCAGTAGGGCTACTTCCTGTATCCTCATCTACTTTATCTATTGTCTGCTGAAATAGGTTAGACAGTGTGAGTATCCTGTGCTTTAAAAAGTTTGACCAGAGGTGGCTCTAAACATTTTCCTCCTGAACTGCCTTTCTTGCTGATTCCAGTCTAGTTCCCGTTAGGTCTGTAGCATCAACAATGTTTGCCAAGGTGTACTGAACTCCAGTTCTGTGCCTCTAAAAATGCTGCCTTAAAAGAGAATGAGAAAGAGAAAAGACATTGGTAAGGAAGTTTCTGGAATATGAAAGAAAGGTCCCATTTTGAATCCCAGATTCTGACCAGATTAGTGCTCACTGGTTGGAATGACAAAAAGTATTATTCTGTTCCAAAATCTTACAACATTTGAATTTTACAAAAGTTTGAATTTAACATTAAATCTTTTGGTGTAATAAAGTACTTTACAATGAGAACATGGGATCTTTTTGTTAAAATTAACCAAAAAATTAATTTGTTTTCTTTGATATCCATGCCTATTTACTCATGCAGCATGAATTTGCATTTCTTTCAGTTATTCATCTGTGATCCCTTAGCATTCTCTTAGTAACCAGGATGTTTAGCATTCTATCTCATTGCCTGGAAGTTCCCTTTGCTGATTCCTGTCTACAGTTATCTATTAAATTTGTGACATTTGGTTTTTTTTCCAATAGCATTTACTTATCCACTCTAATATTTATTAGAGTCTATTATAAAGTTGATATTTGTGTTAGGCACTAGAAGCAAATAATTTTTAAGCAGACGTAGTTGTTGTGCATTAAGTGTGTTGATATCAAAACATAATGCATTGAGCTGGGGATATAGCTCAGCAGTATAGCACCTTGCTTGGCAAACCCACGGTCCTGAGTTTGATTCCTGCACAAAAAAAACCCATAAGGTACTGCAATGGAAGTTTATGTGTAGTGCTGGGAAAGCAGGAAGGTGTGTCCAAATAACCCAGGAAAATCAAGTAAAGCCTAAACCAGTTATTTTAAGGTATAGGAATAGGAATTTATTTGGTGGACAAGGCTGGCTGGCCTTTCTCTCTCTCTCTCTCTCCCTGTCTGTCTCTCTCTCTATCCCCCCTCCCTCCCTTCTCCCCCTCTCCCCCTCCCTCTCTCTCACTCCCTCTTTCTCTCTTTCCCTCTCCCTGTCTCTCTGACTCCCTCTCCTTCTCTCCCCCCTCCTCCCTCCCTCTCCCTCCCTCTCTCTCCCTCTCTCTTTCCTCCTTCCCCTTTCCCCTTTCCTATCTCTTCCCCCTCCCTCTCCTTCCCCCCTCTTCTCTTTTTTTTAAGGTAGACTGTCACTGTGTAGCCTAGGCTGAACTGCAACTCACAGTCCTCCTACCTTAGGCTCCTGAATACTGGGATTACAGGCATACAACACCATACTTGGCTAGAGGGAGAGCTTTTAAAGCAAGTGTGTCATTCTTGATACATAAATCTTAAGTTAACTCAGATTTAATCTTGTTTCATGACCTGATGAATTTATTGTTCATGTTTTGGGGTTATTAGAGCAATAAGGTATCAACAGTGGTCTAATCTAGACTTACTGTCGTTAATGACATTGTTTTATTTCTGTAGTTTAAAGCTGTAACCAAATTAACTCAATAATTCTACTGTGGGTTTTCATCTTCCCTTTTTTGGGAGAGGTGGCTGATGCATGTAAGGTGAGTGCCACTGAGCTATCCCCTCACCCCCAAGTTTTTCATAGTCTTAAAGCTTACTGTCAATTGTAAATATAGCAAAGTATCAGTACAGTACAATGTCCTTTTAGGGAAAGTCTTTGCATTTTATGATGATGTTATTTGATAGTGATTAGAGAAATGTGATACACAGAGGGTTGGTTATACCTTCTCTAACTCGGCCTCCTTCAGTGAGAAGTCACATTTATTGCAATCTTGTCAAGTCACCTGGATACTTGTATACGTCACTAATAGGAAATTCACTTTTCCCAGTGTAACCTAATTGGTTGTGAGATTGTCTGCCTTATAACACTTTTGACAAAAGTAAGTTGTAAGTAAAGTTGAGGAATAAAAATATTTTTTAAAATGTGTACTCTCTAGTGATCATTTTAATAAATAGAAGTTTTAAGGTACTAATCTCTTGAATCTCTTCTTACCAGAGTCTTCCTTTTTACTGAATCAAATGCTTTGAACTGTTTTCTTTATTTTTTTTTAATTTTTTTTATTTTTTGATTTTTCTCCGGTACCAGGAACCGAACTCAGGACCTTGTACTTGCCAGGCAGGCGCTTTGCCGCTGAGCTAAATCCCCAGTCCCTGTTTTCTTTATTTAGCTGTGTGTGAGAGACAATGTTCATTTGAATCTTGTCCCTTACTTAAAATATGCTTTGTAGTTCAAATCATCTCTGTTAGGTTAAAATATATTTTCAATTATTTTTACTTAAATATCTTCTGTTTAGATACCTTACCATGGATGAGACGCGCAAATTGTTACTTTTGCTGGAATCTGATCCCAAGGTTTGTTCGCTACCATTAGTGGGAATGTAAGTATTGCATTATTTATGAAACCTTTCAGCAAAATACATATCCAAGTACGTACAAAATGCACGTGAATCAGCTGTACCATGAGTATACAGATGATCTTATAAAGCCACAAAACCAGTGTTTAAATTTTTAAAAAATTTTAATAGTAGAATCAACTAAAAGAAGTTCTTTCCTCAGTCATAGGAAGAATTCCAGTGTATGCAACAGATAAAATTGAATTCCTACTGAAGCTGAAGTCTTGGAGCCCTGTTTCTTTAACTTTCTCCTACCTCCCCTGTCCTTCAGGACTGAAAACACTAGTGTTAAAATCCACTCCCACACAGTTTTGCAGAAATTCCTTTTAATGTTAATGGTTTTCATTTTCAAGTTAGTTGTTAATTTAGACAGATTATTCAGAAATTTATATTCATTATTTGTTGTGTGCTTTCCATATACTGTATAGTGTTACATTTGGTTTTGTGTTAAGATTTAAAGCTCCTTAAGGAATTTGTAACCAAAAGTAAGGCAATAAAATATAGAAAAATGAATACTGACGTATATGGTTTACTGTGAAAGGGATAGTATAGGTGATGAACACTACTAGATTTATAAGACAGAAATGATAGGGGCATTTTCTTACAGAAGGCAGACTTGAGCTAGACCTTTAGTTGTTTGGCAGTTGAAGGAAGGATAAGAAGTAGAATCCATGTGAGGGAATGACCATTACCAAGTTAATGATAAGACAGACATGTTTTCTGGACCAGTAAATCTACTTGCAGTCTATGCTGTGGTTCTCGCTGGCTATAGGTTATTGATGGCTAAGTGAACATTCACTACGAATCTTACATTTCAGTCTAGATTAGGCCACCTTTGAGGTTTACAGGATACCTACAGCATCCTTTTAATACTCTATAAAGGACTTTTAGACTACAAACTTCAGTCTCTACCAGTTGGGCTCACTCTTTCTAGTCTGGCACCCCGCCTTCACCTCTGTGAACAGTTTTCTTGCTCATATCTCAAGTGAATAGATCAGAACGAAAGAAATGTTTATTCTTTTTCTCTCCATATGCTGATATATTAATGTATATAGTAGTCTCTTTCTAGATTGTCAGTGTCGTCTAATATAGATTTCTTCTTTTTTTTCTTTGCTTTTTGAAGACAGAGTTTCACTATGCAGCTCAGGCTGTCCTTGAACTCACTTGTAGTCCAGGCTGGCCTCGAACTTAGCTATCCTCCTGAGTACTAGGAATACACGCATGCGCCACCATGCCTGGCCATAGATTTCTTAAATTTGCATATTTGTCCAGTCTTTTTATTGTTGTTTGAGACACTGGGAATTGAACCCAGGGTTTCATGCATGCTAGGCAAGCACTCTGCCACTGATCTACATCCTCAGCCCTTTGTGAGGCTTTTTAATGTATTACTGGTATCTTAGTTACTTTTCTTGTTACTGAAACAAAATACTCAATACCCAAAGTTAAAGGAAGGAAGGAAGGTCTGTTTCAGCTCACAGTTTGTAGAGGTTTAAGTCCATAGTCAGTTCGCTCCAAGACAGGGTGGCATTGCAGAGGGGCATCACAGAGGAGAAATAGTCCATGGCAAAGCAGGGCAGGCAGCAGGCAGCCAGCAGTGAAGTAGCAAATAGCAAGTGACGGCAACAGCCTTCCTTCTGTCTCTTATAGTCTATCCAGGCTACCCACCCAGCGGCGGTTATCAATCATACCCAGGGTGGGGCACCTTTAATCTAGCATTGCACTATTAACCCCAGCATCAGCTGGGTATGGTGGCACACGCCTGTAATCCCAGCACTGGGGAGGCTGAGGCAGGAGGATTGTTGTGGGTTCAAGACCAGCCTGGGCTACAAAGTGAGCTCAAGGCCAGCCTGAACTGCATAGCGAGACCTTGTCTGGAAAAGACCAATCAATCAATCAGTCAATCAATAACCCCAACATGACACATCCTAGATCCAGCCACTTCCAAAAATCCCCACTATGACCAAATGAGGCTATGGAGGGACATCTAGATACAAACCATAACAAATAGTAAATGTCAGGATTACCTTGAGAAGCAAACAATCTAAAGAATGCTAATTTTTAAATGACTATAGACTTCAATTTTTTCTTTTAGTTGGCTATCTGGAATTCTACATATCTACAGTCCTCAGGTATGGGCTTGCTGCTTGCGATATATGTTCAGTTCTTCTCTTCAAGAAAGGCAAGTGATATTTTATTCTGTAATACTTTATTTTGGTCTTTTCCCCCATTGATATTTTATTTAAAATTCATGAAACATTTTAACCTTTTACACTACTTACAAAGACACACTTTAAAAAAGACAAACTTTCACCTGTAATCCCAGCACTTGGGAGGCTGAGGCAGGAGGATTGCCACAAGTTCAAGGCCAACCTGGGCTACATAGTGAGTTCAAGGCTGGTCTGACCTACGTGGCAAGACCCTGTCTCAAAAAAGAAAAGAAAAACAAACCTTATATAAATGGGAATAAAGCCAAACAAAAGAGATGTGACACTGTATCTGGAAATATCAAGGGATTCACTTGACTAATCCTAGAACTATAAGCATAGAACACATACATGTTAGGGTGGAAAAACTTCATAAAGATCATCTGTGGTAGCATTTCATTTTACAAAATTAAGAGATTATCTTTCAGTGAAGTGACTGAAATGAACCTGAATTTGTGCGTAAGCTTTTGGTCATTGTGACAAAATGTATAAGAATAACATCTTAAAGGAAGAAAGGTTTATTTTGGCTTGCTGTTTCAGAGGTTTCAAGTCCATAGGGGCTCCACTGCTTTCAGTCCTGTGGTAAGGCACAAACACGCGGCAGGGCACGGAGGAGCAAAACCACTCACTTCATGGCAGTAAAGAAGCAGAGACGAGAAAGAGCCAGGGAGGAAGGGGCAGGGGACGAGAGACAGCCTCCAAAGGTGTGGCCTGTGACCTGCCTCCTTCAACAGGCCCCATCTTCTGAGTTTCCCCTACCTCCCAGCAATGCCATCAGATTATGAATCCGTCAGTGCATTAGTCCACTAATGAAATTAGACCCCTCCTGATTCAGTCACTTTCCAAAAGCTCCACCTCTGAATCTGCAACACTTTTGGACCCAAGGTGTAACAATTTGTTACCTTACAAGTGTTTTCAGTGCTGTCGCTGGTACATTAAAAGACATTTGAAATAAGATGTTTAATTTCCTTCTTGGAACTAAAATGAAAGCATTAGAATTAATAGTTAGGAAACTTTATTTCTAGCTTCAACTCTTCATTTAATTTTATTTTATACACGATCCTACTATTTACTTTTTACCTTTTTTATCTATTTAAATTTGTTTTTGTCTCGCTTAAATGGCTATAATGTATACTAAAAAATCTTTTTTTTGAAAAGACATTACAAGTAAATGGCAAAAAATTAAACATACATAAAGATACACAATAAAAATGTCTTCTAGTATATTTCCACAGACCCCATTGTTAGAGGCAATCATTGTTAAATGTATTTTGTTTTTTCATTTATGAAAATACTACATACACAAGTGCTATCTTCCCTCAGCCTGTATAAATTAAGTCACAAATAGGAGCATGCCATTCTTATATCCCTTTTTTCTTTATATTATACATGAAGGCATTATATCTTCCCATACACAGATTTAATACACAATATCACAGCTGAATGGTATACATTATAAACTATACTTTAAAACCTGGTCCTTTTGCTCACTCTTCATGCTTCCCAGTATCTGTTCTCCATTATGTTCAGTAGACTGAGCATTTTTATGCATACATCTTTGTGTGCATATACAGTACTAATATATTTGTAGGATAATTTCCAGAAAGTTTTTTTTCCCTGGGCCAAAGAGTATGTGCTTTTAAGTTTTGGTGGATATTGCCAAACTGTCTTTTTAAAAAGACTACCAATTTATAATCCTGGAAACAGTCTACAAGTACAGGTGTTATTTTCACTCCCTGATACTCTGAAGCAAATATTTATTGAGTACCTTTTATATACTGTGCACTATTTGTGATACTGGGATTACACTGTAAACAAAGTAGAGATCTTACAGAGATGGGCACTAAACAGAATAAGTAAGATAAATACTATGTTTCAGAATGGTGAGCTGAGAAGCAAAATAAAGCCAGGAAGGAGAGGAGGAAGTATGAATGAGAGTGGTACATAAGAAGGGGTGTTGTTGCTGCTGCTGTTGAACTTGGGTCTGTCTGTGTTGCCCAGACTGGTCTCAAACTCCTGGCGTTCTGCTCAGGCTCCCACATAGCTGGGGCTCTGGGTGCAGTCACTGTGCCAGCAAGTGCTGCAATTTTGAACAAGTGATCAGATCTTTTTTCCCCATAGATGCTGCCAAGCAAGCACTGTTTTGTTTTTTTATCTATTCTTTTATTTTATTAGTATATATTTGTTGTACATATTGATCACATCATAGGGAATTTGTACTTGTACATAATATGTCTTGATTCTTTTTTTTCTCCATTCCTCCCCCTCCTTTCAACTGTTCCTTCCTTCTCCATTTACAAAACCTGTTTCGTTTTTTTTCTCTTTTCTCTTCCTTCCCTTCCCCTCCTACCTCCCTTGTTCTCCTTTCCATTTGAACACATTCTTCTTCATGCCTCCCAGTGTCTATTCTCCATTATGTTATTTATTTACCCTTGGGATTTCTCACACAAGAGAAACAGTGTGTTGTTTAAACTTGTGCATCCTATTTATTTCACTCAAGATTATGGTCTCCAAGTGCATCCATTTTCCTACAAATGACTCACATTTATCCTTTACGGCAGACTAGTACCCCATGGTACATGTACATTTTCTTCATCCGTTCATCTATTGGTGGGCATATGGGCTGTTTCCAAGGTTCAGCTGTTATAAATTGTGCTGCTATAAACATGAGTATTCACATATCACTGCGCTTTGATGCTCTGAACTCTTTTTTTTAATTACTTATATCTGATAATTTTTTTTATTTTAAAAATAAAAGGAGGAAAAGATTAACAGACAGACAATCTTTTTACAAAATAGCAAAAGAACAGTACAGACAAT